AGATGACATACAGAATGAGACACGGCCCCTGCGTCAACCCTAAGCTTATGGCCAATTGACGAATCAGTGCATCCAATCGGGATGCCGACTTTGCTGCCTAGTGCTCCTCCAACATTCTGACAGTGACCACTCAAGTAAGTGACATCCAAGACAAAGAGGCTACCCTGGACAGGTTGGCTTTCCGAACACCGAACACCGATATTGTCACGCCGATGCAGCACCACAGTCTAAATATACTATCTAAAAGCTTCTCAGCCTTTGATATCTCCAAGTCGGTTGCTTAATGAAGGGAGGTACAATATGTAGATATGACTGGTCAAGGTGGATGATGGCTGCGAAGGAGATCTACCAAAAATAACCAGATTCCACGCCAGGACCTTTGACCTATGGGCAAGCACGCAAGAAATCCACATACCTTGTTGCCAATGAATTTAAACGAAAGTACTTGATGATCCAAAGAAAGGCAGACGGTTTTTTTTTTTGGGTCAATGATTGGATGTGCGAGGGGATGTAACGGGCGGCGATTCTGGTGGGCATGGACTGCGGGATTCAGATGCCGCCCCATTATCTCATGTACGCAGTTCGAAGTAGAGCGAACGGGAGCCTACCGAGAAATCTCGCCTAGAAAAGTCCCGGATTTGAATCTAGTCGAACCAACCACACCCGTCGTAGTGTTCACAATGCAGAATAGACATATCTCAACGGTGAAAAATTCGGTCCCCCCAATCCCGGTTCTGTGTAGCCTCAAAGAGGAGTTCGGCATCACAAATCCTTCCATACCGAAGACGAGTCTCTCGGCTGCCGCCAGAGGAGAAGTCTGATAGACTGCTTGTGCATTAGGAACAAAGTATCGTCTGCCACCGCATCATCGTGTTGATTTCTGCCTCCCAAAGGGGCAGTCGTTCGTCTCCACCACCATCCCTGCTGCCCTTCCCTTCAAGCTTAGTCAACCGGTGGCTGACCAGAATTACTCCGTAAGCTGCTGATCGGTCCACTTGGAGGCGTTGCGTAACTTAGACTTGTTTCCATTCTTTCTGCCTCTTGTTTCGACCGGGTGGCCGTTGAATCACACGCAGTGGGAAACCGTTGTCGACGTTTTTAGACAAAATTCATCCGTGGCCGGGCCTAGAAGCCTCCGGTGACAATTCGAACGTCATGATCCTCGTATGAAGTTGATCATTTAGCCCGACAAAGTCTCGACGAGTGTTGTTGACGGTTGTGCCAGCGCGTTGCTTGGATGTCATGCCTGGCTAATGCATGGCTCGGGACAATCTCTTCGATGCTCACGATGTCGGCCATGACTTGTTGATCATGCGAGATCCATGGAGAGGCACCTCTGATCGAGTTTGGATCGTTTGTGCGGAGGAGTGTCGGGTTCGGGTGCAGAGATGTTGAGGCATCATCGCTACCTGACACGACTGGGAAAGGCTGCTGCGGGAAGGAGAACCCCGAGTGCATACTGCAAATTCCCATTTGTGCGGTTGCACACGCATCAGAGTTTTCGCTTGTGCGAGCGGGTGGGTGTTGATCCAAAATGGTGCTCTCGCAATGTTCTATCGAGAACGTTGGTGTTGGGGCGAGTGCACGGTTGGAAATGCCTCACTCCTCCATGCGATGCGTGGGAGCGCGGGTTCTCTCCCATACCGACGAGCCTCACTGAGCGACTGCTCCTTCAAAGGTGACCGCCGAGAGGGCTCCCTGTTGCCGCCTGGCGCGCCCTCACCACCGACCTCACCCAACCGCTGAAGCTCGCTGGCCGTCACCTGCTGGGCCCCCAAGACGCGGCGAGCCTGCGAGCCTTCACCGCCTGGCTGAACCGGAAGCACATGCCAACACTACTTAAGGTAATATTTGGCAACACCTTCCATCATTCAGAGCTGCCTATAGTCGGGTGGTGTAGCGGTTAATCGTACCGTCGCTCAGTCCCTTCGGGCGACTTAGACGGAAATGAGACTCCATGCTCATCCTGCAGTACGGACTCAGTCCCAGGGTCTACGGTTCGAACTTGGCTTGCTTGTAAACCGTACGTTCAGGACACAGGCGTTGACCGTTGCAACCATATCCTATAAAACCTAGCGTTCACCCCCAATTTTTTTGGAGGATGTTTCTATTTTGCAGGTTAGCTTGCGTGCATCGCTACTCGCTCATCTCATCGCGAATGCATTCCGATGCGTGGGGGGCGAATGAAAAAGGGCAAAAGAAATTCGAGTTTGTCGTGATAGCCTCGATGGGCGTTGGCGACGATGCGCATGGTGGTTTCTCCGCCTGATTTTGCCTACCCTGGATCTGGAATCAGCTGCCTCGCGCACACGACTGCAGCATCTACACGCGAAAGGAGTCAGCCAAACTGATCAATAAACGGATTCATGGTGATGTATCGGAGGAGATTGCTCGCCTGGGCTTTTTTTGAGCGTTGATATGTCGCCTTGCCATTTGATTTTGCGAAGTGTGTATGTAGCCTACCAAATGTTCTCCTATGAACAGGTGTTTAGATTCGTCTGCCCCAGGCGATCACGATCCTCGACATGTTCTGCTCTGTGCAATTACATGTTGTCACCTTATCTAACACTAAAGTCTCGGCCAGTCCTTTTTGCAGCGTGAACACATTACCTCATAATATGATTTCGTGAAGTGTGTATATAGCCCAAGGTAGGTACCTACCAAATGTTCTCCTATAGACGCGTTTAGATTCTTCCACCTGCTTCTTCCCCACCAGGTGGCAATAATCATGTAGATATTCTTCCATGTTTAATCATGTACCAGCACATTGTATCATCTTGAACTCTCTCTTTGTCTAATATCACATGGACACGCGACATCTTCGATGCCTCGCATGTAGCTTTGGAACCAACGAGATAAACCGGAGACCATGTCATCTACAAGCAGAGGTATCTACAGACTGACTCCGGCCCTTCTTTGGCCCAAATCCCTCACGCGACATCCCACGATAGTTCCAGAGCCAGTGGCGGAAGATACCTGGAGACATTTGTCTAACTTGACCGCAGAGTTTTCTCTAATGGCCCTGGCGCGGCGCGTAGAAGCTTGGCATCTCTACAACTAGGGGAAAAGTAAACTCGATCCTATGAGGCCTCCTGGTATCAAGACTCCAGAGATGCATAGACTAGACTGGTCTTCCAACAGAAAAAGCCTTCCGGCAGACGAAAACCTCCACAGTGTCATTGAGACTGTGCTTGGATTCGATCAATTAGTAGAAGATTAAACATATGGAGACATCTCGACATTGCCCTGGACTAATTAAACGTTCAAACGAATCATGAGGTCTAATGAGGAAAAATGGCAAAGTGTAAAGTAGGTAGAAACCCCGCAAAGTGTTGACAGCTGCATAAAGTTTCTCTCACAGCAAATAGAACACGTTTTACGCCAGACTCGAAAAAGCGTCCAGGGACGAGACTAACCTAGAAGTTGGGCAGAAGGGCGTCATTGCCATACAGCAGACCCCAAACTCTAAGCAGCGTCCAATATCTGAGATGGAGGACATGCAGGTAGAAAGCCAAATGCTCGTAGGGGGTGCAATTACCACCAACCCCGATAAAAGCTTACTTCTCGGAGGCAGCCCGCGACGCCGGGACGATTCTGTGCCATGTAAGGACCTTTTGGTAGCTAAAGGGAGTCTACTATGGTCGACAAAACCCTCTCAACAAAATCTCTGAATAACAGAAAACCACTCCGGCAGTCTCGCCCACTGCCCAGAAACTCAGTATGGCGCCAAGAGAAAATAGGCCAGCCGGGCGTACCGATTGCCGACAAGGCGGAGATGGGGCAAGTGGAATGTCACGGTCTGGAACTTTTTGCCCGGTTGTTCTATGTACTCACTATGAATCAACAATGGGCTGATCAGTGTGTAATGACGTCTGTTTAGCCCTGCGCTCTTTTTGATTCTTGAGAACCTTTAAGGGGGACTTTTTTCATTTCACTTGTCGTGGGCTAAGTTATGCCTTCGTCTTGGGCGTCCGCGAACCCCCTGGTTTCTCGATGGAGTTTCAAGCCGCGGGGTCCGGGAGGGATAATGGCTGCTTATTGCATCACTGAGCGCCTCTAATCTTCCTGAAGCATATGCGGTTATGATGCTGAAACAGGTACGAGAGAGAACACATCACCTTAGCCTCGGTTTGTAGCCAGAGTTTTCTGTTCATGCTGGCCCATTGAGCATAACTGCAGTATGCCCATGCAAGCAGCGGATCATCTTACGAGCAGGATAGTAACGTCCCATCCCAATTGACTATCTTCTCCCTTTTCATGAAGGCGGCGTGAGGAGGCATGGATGGGAAGACGGAGCTGATTGGGTCTTTTGGTTTCGAAATCTTCTCAGGTCCCCGCCAGTTTCGCCCAAGGCGTGGTAGTTCTTGTCGGCACGTTTCGGCCTCGGACTGCCAAGCAGTCGGGTCCTGGGTGTGCGTGAGTGCATGACAATTGGCTCGCTCGCTTGTTCTCGCAGCCCACACACACCCTCGCCAGGGCGGGCTCCAAAATGTGATGAGCTGGCCCGGCCAACTCTGCTCCGGAGAAAGGTTTGGCTGGGCGTGTCGCCGTCGTCTTGGCCTCTGTCACTTCTCCTGTGCACGGCCGGCCCACCCAAAAGTTCGACCCGGATTGCCCCTATGGTTGGGGGAAATGGCAGCGAGCCCTTGAAATTGAGGAGCAAAGGTCTGTCACCATCGTTCGATCTCCACAATTCGTTCTTAGAAGGCCTCTTCCGCTTCCCTCGTTGCCATGGCCGGTCCCGCGCCATCAGCGGGGCGCCCTCGGCGGAAGTGGTACCCCATCCTGCCTATCTAATTCGCAGTGGGTGAGCATGTCACCACGATGGTGATGGTCCTTCATAAGTGCACAAGGGGTGCCTGGGCTGGATCAAGGGCATTGCCTGACGTAGGGACGCACCCGACCACCCGCCCTTGGTGCCGCGATGGAGTCTTGGGGAACAATTACACCTGCTAAGTAATCGTTCCAGCTGGATGAGTAAGGAGATGCTAGAGCGAGGGTTATTTGGCCCGTGCCAGGCCTGATTGGGCTGGGTCGCCGAACCGGCTGGAGAGCGATAGAAGAAGCAGAGTCGCATTGGTCGCATTGGATCGAGGACCGTGGTCAAACTGGCCTTGACCGACTGTCGATGTATGCGCAAGTATCCTGTTAGTTCTTGTTGACTTGTCCGCCACTCTGGTAGCGCACTCGGGCTCTTGGCCTTGGGCGACGTCGACTCTATTGGGGAGCTGCATGTCCGCATGGGCCAATGGCAGGGCGGAAGTAGGCTTTTCGGCAAAGTCTAACCGTTTATTTATAGCAATGGCTGCGATATCATGCACGCAAGGGAGTCGGCCTGGCTTGATGGCGCCAATCAGGTCGATGCCATCTCTTGGTCGACCGTCGGTCGGGGCCTCTGCACAGGTGCAGGTGTGTGCGCCCAGTCGCCGCCCACACACATCCATTGTCCACTTGTGGTGGTTGGTTAGGTTCAGTCACATCTCATTGTTTTTTTCCCCTTCTGCTGCCTGGCCGGATTTGGTCAATGTTACGATGGATTTGGCATGACGGGCGTTGAAAAAGGAGCTGAGGCGGGGGAGAAAAAAAAGCAAAAATGCAGGCAAAAGACGGTGATGCAGCAGCAGCCACAGGCAAAAACCCACTCCAGCCTCTGTATTGACCCTCCTGTGTTTCGGACTCGCACCGCAACCCGCGCTCCTTACGCTGCGGGCTCTCCTCTGGCTGGTCTGGATCGTGCGTGAGGTCAGAGTTTCGATCTGGTGCCGGTCATTTTGCGGTGTAAAAGAGGGAGGGCAGATGCTCGGAGCCACGGCTGAGTGGATCGCCCGTTACAGTAGGCCAAAAGGTTGGTGCAACTACGCCACTACCACCACCACCACCACCAAAAGCAACCAAGGCGAACGCCGGTGCGGTGCTGGCGGACGGCCTGAGAAAAAAAGTGGAAGTTTAGCCACAGACTACAGGTACAGGCGCGCCAACCACGGCTTCTGGATCGCCAGTTGCCGTCTGGGCAGGCAATATTTGATGATGCATCGGCTTCCGGGTGAGACCTAGTTAATTAGCCTCCAGACAGATCCCCATCCCATCAAACAGCAATCTGGATGGGCTGATGATGGTGTGGCCGTGCGGAATCTGGTAGAGCGTGCCTGAGCCAGGTCAACCGGCCTCTCCACCAGCGAGAAGAGGGCTGGCGTTCCAAGGCCGGTCACTCGGACATTTCCCACAGCCGATTCCACCTCGCACAGCAGACGTGCAGGTCTCGTGTGAATGGGCAGCCCCTGGAGCGGTGAGGCTGATAGAGCCCGCCGTCACCATGTCTTCTCGTGAGTGTGAAATTAATACCTTGTAATGACCCCCAGGCACGTTGTTCGCAGCATGATTGCCGATTGCGGGGACATGGCCTCTTCTGGCTGTGATTCGACGATCGCCCTGGCCTGCGGTCACAGATACCAAAGCAAGCAGGTAGGTGGCAGGCAGGCCTTGGTCTGCAAGGGAACCGGCCGGCCAGCAAACATGATCACCATGCATTGGACGTGGCCCTGGGTGTCACAGAACCAAGGTTTCGATGGCACAAAGAATGACTCGACGGCAGCAAGAGATCTGGTACAAACCACCCTCCTCGCGTGATACAGCCTGGAATCGTACAACTTTCAGCCCCCAGCCCTGTGATGAGAGGAGGGGGGTTTGAGCCAGCCATCATCAAGCCACACGCACACACCACTGTGTGTAGCTATTTCGAAAGGGTACCGTCGTAGCAACAAGAGGCCCCAGAGAGAGATCTCACCCGACATCTACTAGAATGGCCTGCGGACCCCGTCCCGCGCCCCTAGTGCCGCTGAGTAACACGTTTTGGTCGGCACGGTTATGCAAACGTGCCACAAGGGTCCGAGATGCACGAGGCGTCTCGAAAGATTTGTCCAGAGTTGACCTAGAGCCGGTCTGCTTTTAGCTGGGTCACCCGGGGCAAGGACCGATTTGCTTGCGCCTCGCTGACCCTGATTCTTTTCATCTCGCTCTCTGGGGGTTTATGGTTTGGGTTGGCCTAGCACCTGGTAGCACCCGAGCAGCTGTCGATGAAACGTTGTATCGCACGTCCCCTAGTTAGCCTCTTCGCTGTTCGTTGCAGCACAGCCACACTGCTTTGACCTTGGTCCTTGACTGATTCGAGGCATGGGGCCAATCCTGAACGGGAGGCTTGCATGTGGGCGGAGCGGAGCTCCTCGATTTCATTCGGTTCGCCGACGTCCTTGTAGGGCGGCTCGTTCATGCCCTTAGTCTGCCCGCGGAAACCGCCAAAGATAGAAATCGGTTTAGGCTGGAAACGCCCTAGTGCTCTGTCCCCGGGTCAGGGGGGGAGGCGATGGGCTCGCTCAGGGTCCTCCTCCCTCAGCCTCTGACTCTCTCCCAGGGCCCTCGAGACAACGTCCCGCGGTGGATTAATTAACATGGCATGTAGGTACATTGCGGTAGTGCAGCAGGATCCCGCATACGGACTGCTGTGTCACATACCTCGTAGAAGCAATTGGATTGGTGCATGGCCCTCTGTCTCCTTTTGGTCATCAATCTCATATTGTGGCCAGCTGAATGGCGTTGGGGAGGAGCCGGCGGCCACACATTCCCTTGCCATAGCAGATCAGCAGCTTGTGTACCGGGATCGAGTACCGGAGTGGTGACCTCATGAGCAGCTCAGTAGCACATTCTAGTCGGATTAAACTCTGGAGTGAGCCCTATCCACGGGCCATGAATATAACGCCCAATACAATACCTACCTCTTTGGGCAATAAGTCATCCATAGTACCAATAGTTCGAATAGTACCACGTTGTACAGACCACTGCGGCCCAGTATGATATCAGGCCGCGGATAATAGGCTACCGGCAACGCTGGATGAGGTAAGGGAGGATGCATGCCAGGGCTAGGGTATGGGGCAGGCCTTTTGAAGGTCGAATCTGCGGACACGAGGTTTATTGAGCATGAGGGCGCTAAGTCGGGGCCCCCTGGTCTATCAGATCTGCACCCTAGGCTGGCCGAATCCAAATGGCCTCTGGAGAAATAAACGAACGAGCGAATGGAGGCGCTCGGTTTGGATAAATTGCACTGCCATCCATCTGAACCCTAAAAAAAGCTATGGCCTTTCCCCGTTCTGTTAGTGTTAACTCGACAGCAGCGTTTTTTCTCCGTGGTAAAGACCTACGAGTAGTCCATTAGAGCTTAGAGGAATGACTTGACGGACTTTTTGTCTGGTTTTCCGCTCGCACATCATGCCAACTAGGGTAGCTTACTAGGGCCGTGACTTATTCATTAGTAGTGCGATGAGGGTGGACCAAAAGGGTCCTTGGCGAGGTTTAGATGATGACACCGATCTTGGAGGCTCGCACATTTTGCCGGAATTGTTTCCTACGCAGGAAATTCAGCATGTTGCTATTATTCATGGCTTTGTCTTCTTCTCTGCCTCGGTCTCCAGTGGAGAAAGGGTCCGCAGCTAGGCGAGCCAAGACACCAGTAAACCACATGGGCTGGGTTGGGTTCTGGCTGGTCAGTTTTGTAAGAGACACTAACTCGAGGCCTCCGAGCGGCATTTTGAGCGGGAAATGGCCTGGGAGAGGAGAATAGAGCAGAGGACCGACCCCAAACCAACCCTGGAGGCGCAGTGGGAGAGACCCTGATGAGACGAGCCATGCAGGCAGCGGGTCGAGGCGTGAAACAAGCAAAGTCAGTTCGCTGGCGCGCATGGAATGCCTGTCTGTTGGGGGGGATCTTTGTCGGGTGTCGCATGGTCCCGAAGGATTGGAATTGGATTGGTCTTTGGTTGACGAATGATAGCTCTGCTCACGATGGCCGTTGGGCTGGACCACCTCAGCTACCACGTAGCAGCTTGCTTATGTTGGACCATTGTAGACGTGCTCTCTGGAGTGGCGCCCGGATGGCACAGACATGATGTTATTTTCAGGGTGGCTGTATCAACGAGGTGGATGAATCATTGCTTGTTTGCCCCCCCTTTCGATGTGTGCAGGTTTGTGCCGTGTTACTTGCGAGAGATGAAATGAAAGGGTCGCTGGCAGAATCGATCAGATTCCCACCGATTCAATTGGAGGGGGAAGGAGGCTTCCAGAACATGGCATCCGAAACACCACAACCGTGCTTGCTCCGGGCTGAGAGAACCCGCCAAGATGCAGCTCCGGCAGTCGCAGAAACAACCAGCGTCCCACATGGAGGTGGGATGTCGTCGATGAAGCAAACCATAATCTTAAAATCTGAGGATTGGCAAGGCATTCCGAGACCGGGACGACGGATCCCAAGCAGGCAGGTCCTGGGCAGGTGGTTGCTCTGTAAGACACAAACACTTGATGTCTGCTTCACCGACCATGCGGTGCCGATCCACCCAGGAAGGGCCCTGTTGCTGCCGTCTGCTAGCACCCTGCCATGAGAACGAACTCCACGCTGGGAGGGTTGGATGCAAAGTTCCCAGCGTCATGGTAGGTTCTTGGCAGGCAGGCCGCCCAAGAGGGTGACTCGTCTCGAGACGAGCGCCCCAATGAAATCCATCTCTGCAACAGGATGGCTGGAGGCAGCGGAGATAGGTGCTGTTAGAGGGTGGTAGTGAAGGGTAGCACTATGGAGCAGTGGCCGGGGCTGCTGCCGGAGCAAGCAACGCTCCCCAACTCGATCAGACGCACGTCCCTCCAGCGCTGCTGCATGCACGCTCGCTCCGCTTGCCTTCACAAACCGCCAGCGGAGGTGGATGTGCATGCACCAGGTCGCATGAAACATGTTCTCTGCTGGCGGTGACATCCAGCTGCATGCACATACTGGACTGGGTTGAATATTGACTGACTGATGCTACCTACAGCAGGTGTGTACTCCTACGACCGGGTCCTTATGCTGGAGTGAGGCGGCGCTCGCTGCAAGAGACCTATTATTTCCTACTTGTCGGATTCCATCCTACTCAGCTGAGCCTGCTTGATGCCGAGGAATTGGCCTCGAGAAGGTGCGAGAAGGACTAAGCGAACGATAGCAGGTCGTGATTAACAACGTCTGTAAGCGATCTCTTTCTAAGTGGTCTGATGTTGGGCATTTACGATGCTCAATGGTTGGCTTTAGTCACCTATGACAGCAGCTTCTTGGCGATGAGGGAGGGTCGCCAATGCAGCACAGTCCAACGGCAGTTCTCCGACCTACCTACCTACCTAATCGTTCCCGAGCCTGAGCCGACCAGCGTCAGGAGGAGAGAAAAAAAAAAGCCCTCGAAATTCCCTCTGGCGTGCATGCGCTTGTGCTTGGGCTGTGGGTGGCCGGGCTTGGCTTTCTTGGCCCCAGGACGGGCATGACCACATCGATTGCCAGCCCTGAATGCAAGTGGCCTTGGCCATCCGTGTATGTACTATGGATGTATTGGAGTGTAGTGTAGCTTTGGGTGGTGATTTTGGCTCCAAGGTTGGGCTGCCCACCCAAGCCAGTTTGCAGTGCTCGCCTCCCCCCCTCCAGCGGACATTTTTAGAGCCCTAAGTGAAAGCCAAAAAGCTGTGTGTTGTCATCACCTGATTGTTGCCGTGAAGCTAGGCCTTGTGATCAGCCAGTCGAGTGCCGTGGCGAGGGCTATGATTATCACTGGCATGCGAGAACAATGCAGAAATTAGCATTGGATCAAAGTTAAAGCGGAAAGAGGCGCGAGCATGGATTTTGCACTGCCAGTATCACTCCCCCCCTTCACATTAGCTGGCAGCGAGTTGCGTATCAAGCGATGCCTACCTATCCAGAGCTGGCGTTTTGCTCTCGGTCGTATCCTTCTCAATCGGCCATCCGCCACCAATTCCGTTCCGGCCCGGGGGTCGGCCCTTTCGTCTCCTCGCGCTGGAGAGGGAGATGTCTAAGTAAGCCCGTATCGTCACCAGGAATTGAGGCTGCTGACATGGCCGAGCGCGTCCTGGTGCGATCTTCTGCCGGAGTCTTCATCTGAGTGATCTTTTGTTTTTGTGGGGAGACGGGGTCCTGCCTGGGCGGTGATGCTGTGCACTAATCACTAATCAGGGCGGGTTAGGGGCGGCTTTGGGGGATGGGAAACCAGAATCAGAAAGCAGGGAATGGGATAGACACAGAGGCACACACACTTTCTCATACTGACACACGCACGCAGACTTGCAGCCGCCACACACACAAACACACCTCTACATGGGAGGCAAATGGTAAGATGGGCGTGTGTACCCTTTCCTCTCCCTCTCGCAACCTGCGCCGTACATGTATGATATGATATGATCCATGGGTATGTGCCTCGGCGGCCAACCGGGACAGCAGCAGCAGTGGGTGGCAGCATGTACCGCGGATGGTCACTCACAACCACACACCTGATCTTGATGGTGCTGGCCGCCTTGAGCCAATGGGAGGATCTCAGCAAAGACCGGATTCTATTTTTACCCATGGCCCGCCCCAAATGTGCGTCATGCCCCAGAGTTGTGCCCCCGTCGACACCCTCCCAATTCTGAACAAGCTAATGGCACTATGGCCAGGAAGGGTGGCAGAGCACAACATCCCTGCCGCCTGCTGTGTCTCCTGCCTGCAGAGTCAGGCGGGCTGTGGGTGAGCCAGAAGGGAATCCTATCTGGGCCAGAGCGGAAACTGAGTATTCTGATTTTGGCCATCAAGGTTGATGTACGTGTCGCATTGAGACGAGTTTAGATTTCGACGCCAGCCGGGCATGGACACGCGATGCCCGAGGCACGCGCGCGCTCTCTCAAAACAACAAACCAGCGCGCGACAGATGTCAGCACCCTTGGGGGTGCAAGCCATGCCTCGATGGCAGGTAACATCACAGGCGTTGGCCAGTGCAGTGCCTCTGTTCGGTGATGGGCTCGGTGGGATGGGATGGGGGTGAGGGTTGCCAGAGAGAACGGCGCCAAAAGGGTATTTGTTAGTGCCCTCGCTCGGGTCCTCTGCGTCGCTACATCGGGCCCCACACTGGCGCTGGTAGCCCCGGCACGCTGCCTGGGTTTGACGATACATGGGGGCTCACGGATCCCAAGGTACCCTACTGCCGCTTGACCAGCTGTGGTGCATAACTCTCTTTGCCTTGCTGCCGCACTCCCGGGGGCAGAAAGGGCCCACGAGTGACAACAGTGGGTTTTCCTGCTGGGCTGCACGGTGCAGTGGTGACAATGACGCTGACCCGCCCCACGGGCATGGCCCCAGCCTCTAAGGTACCTACACCTACCTAAAGCAACGCCTAAGCCAGCTTGAGCCCAGGGCCTTCTCCGCCTGCCGTCGCTGCCGCCTTTGGGCCTGCCCCCATCCCATCTTCTACATAATGGTCCCATCCCCCAGGGCCAGCTGCCCGTACTTTACTTCCCCTCCAGCTTAACACATCTGTATTGAATCCTCGCATCAAAGACAAGCCTCCTCTCCTACGTTCGCTTCTTCTCCTCTACCCCCTCTACCCCCTAGGAAGTCCTCGTTGACTCCTGTCACTCGCTTTATCGGTTCTTGGTTTTTTTCTGCTCTCGGTCACCTTGCTCGCGCTCCGGCTTCTCTGCTCCTCCAAACGCTATCGCTCCCAGGTATCATCAGACAAATCATAAACACCAACTCTTGAACCTGAAGTTCGACACCAGCGTCGCCCAGCTCCACGGCAGCTTCACCAGCTACCCGTCCACGCAAACAGAGATAGTTCACCACCGCTTGAAAGGCCTATACACCAAGTACAGAAGACATTCCAAGACACCACACACGATCGCTACCAAAAATCTTTGGGAAGATAAGGGAAAAGGGAAAAGTGTTTCCGAAAGAGAGAGAGTTCAGAGGACACTTTCGAGACGGAAAGCAGCTGGATCTCTCAGTATCAGCCACCCTCGAAACAACCGCGCTCGCTTCGCCTCCACCACCTCCATCACGCCAGTCACAGCTATAGCTCCCATCACGCAACGGCGGTGAAGCTTCGATCCATCAACGGCTGCTATTCCATCTCACCGTGTCATTTTGACAAGCTCTCCAGCTTCGGAACAGTGAAAGGCCCACCAGCTCAGCAAAACGATATCGGTTACTGCACCATCGTCAAGCTGGATTCGTAATCCTGGTCTCGTGAAATCAACAATACAACACCTCTAATCAACAAAACTCGCTCGCTGTCGGTCTGCACGATTGATTTCGTGCTGATTCTATTAAAGTACGTTGTGGAACGTGTTGTCCTACACGAATTGACTTTATAACCCGCCTTGGTGCATGTCCCTAGCGTCGTGCTACCCAGACTAACATGAATCTAGGTCCTTCGCTTTAACTTTTTCTTACTTCATCCGATACAATGGCTGGTCCAGGTGGCGGTCCTCCTCGTCGCAGGTAAGTTTATGTCAAACTTTGACCCTAAGGAGAAAGCAACGGCTAACAGTGCTCTAGCCACACCAAGTCTCGCAAGGGCTGTGATACATGGTATGTCGCGGCAAGACTTCACTCAGAAGGCCCTTTCTTTTTCTCGGCCCTGTACTGACAGCTAGCAGCAAGCGCAGACATATTCGCTGTGATGAGAACTTCCCTCAATGGTATGTGTGGTCTAGCAGGAAACTCGACCTTGAACGAGCATGCTGACAATGGACGC